AAACTACTCAGAATGACTAAATTTTGCGTGCAAGTCTTAAATCACCATACAGAACTATTTCCAGGCTCGAAATCCCAAATGGACCTCGATAAAATCAAAATCCACTCCAAACCAAATTTAAAGAACTTTTAAACCTTCAATAAGCCAACTTTCAACATTAAGCGCCGAAACGCTCCCGGGTCATCCAAAACTCGATCTGAACACACGCCCAAGTCCAAAATCATCATACGAACCTATTGGAACCGTCAAATCCCGATTCTAAGGTCGTTTACTCAAAATATTGACTTAAGTCAAACTTAGCCGTTTTAGCCAACATTAAGGAATCAAGTATTCCGATTTCAACCTGAATCCTTCCAAATCCCAAACTAACCATCCCCGCAAGTCATAAAATAGTTAAAGCACATACGTGGAGTCTTATTTAGGGGAATATGGATCTAGAAAATAAAATAATTGGTCGGGTAGTTGCATTCAAATCTAGGTTTCGCCAGTAGCAAAGGATGAAACAGAAAATGAGAAAAATAAGAAAAGATGAGACGAAGTCGTAGGAGATGCTCTTTTAGGCAAGATCTAATAGTTTTAGGCCATATATGATCAGTGGCGGAGCCACATGCAATCGAGGGATGTCAGCCGACACCCCTTAGTCAAAAAATTATACTGTGTAGTTAGGTAATTTTTTTTTAAAAATGTATATATACTATGTATTGACACCCCTTGATTTCTTGTTGAGTTTATTTCTTTATATTTTGACCCCCTTAATGAAAATTCTGGCTCCGCCACTGGATAAGATAGCTTTTGGACTTATAGGCCAAATTTTGTTGTAGTTCCTTAGTCCATTTTTGTCAATTAACTTAAAATTCGGAACCTAATTGACAAAGAATGCGAGGACTAAAGAACTCTTGTGCACATCTATATAGAGCACAAAAATTGCTAGTATGTTGTAGTATTTGCTTTTGTTTCTTCACTTGAGTGCTTAGAAGCAATTAACACGAGTGTGTGTAAATAATGATGTAAGTTTTAGAGAGAAAGAAGAGAGAGGCGAGTTGAGAGAGATCGAATGTGATGAGAATGAAGAAAGCAGAAAAGGAAAAAACCTTAGACGTGTGTCTTTAATAATGGGCTAAAGGCTAAAATGTTTCTTTTAAGTTATATACAATCTGAGACAAATCGGGTAAGGACTTCAAACCTTGGCCATTTTTGGTTGGGCTATTGGGCCAAGTGACAAGAGTCATAACTTTTTCTTTCCGATAGACCCGCGGCTCAAGAAAAGATACAAAAACCAAAAAAAAACAAAAAAAAAACAGCAACAGACAGTAGCAAAATAACCAGAAAACCAACGCAAAAGAAACATCACGATTTATTTCTAAAAGTTTCTTTTGAAAAAATTAACGCTCCTTTTGAAAAGTATTCTTGGAAGAAATTATTAGTATTATTGAATTTCTCCATCAAAGAGGAAATTAAAGTACGTGGGGGTGTTGGTATGAAAAATGATCTCACTTACTAATAGGAGTAACATGAAAAGCAGCTACTAACCTATTGGTGGTCCATTCTGGGCAGGGCTGTTCATTTGGATCGGATATCCGAAATCCGAACCGATCCATTCAATTTCGGATTATGTTTATTAAAATTTCGGATATTCAGATCGGATTCGGATTGGTATAATTGTAATCCGATCCGATCCGAAATCCGAAATTATTAGGGCATGTATAAATATTAAACTTTAATTTCGGATTGTTAGTACTTCCTTTACATCTTCCTCCAAGTTATTACCTTTACAATAATTGGATTTAGCTATATTGGCACCATAATAGTCTCATAATTGCAGAAACATGAATTTTTCTTACTGTATTGCCTCTTTTACAAAGAAAATATACATATGAGTTTGCAACTTTGATGCAAAATAATTCGATCCGGAATCCGAAAATCCGATCCGATATTAATTCGGATCGAATTCGATTGCATTTTGTAGAATTCGAATTCGAAATATACTAAATCCGATCCGATCCCATGCACAACCCTAATTCTGGGACATTGATAAAATTGGAACAATACAGAATACTATTAATTTAGCTCCTGCACAAGAATGACAGCTCAAATGTAAGACTTGTTGCTACCCCTGAAGGACATACAGATTAATAAAATATCTGGAAATAACAAACCTAAACACAACTTTCTAAGGCTCCAATTCGCAATTACATTCCTGAAAGCAGAGATAAAACTATACGAGGACCATTCCCTTCTTCCCATCCATCCCATCTCCTTTCTTTTTGTGGTAACCCAGAAATTTCTCTGGCCAAACTACAACTGACACACATGTCAAAAGCTGGGGGAATATGGTTCCGCCCCTCTATTTCCTATTTCAATATCAAGCTTTAGTCTAGGGCAAAGGCCAAACTAGTACATGCGCGCTACCAACACATCCTTCCAATCTCATCCAAAGAACTAAAAGAAAACTCAAGAAAGAAGAGAAAACCTGTTATTGGTCTTGCATGAATAAAAGGTTCCAAATCCAAATCACTTACTTCGAAATTTGCATATCATCAACTGCAATTGCTATTCGTTATCAGGAAAAGAGTAATAGTAGCATGATTTCAAAGTCAAGCTCCCCTTGGTGTTAATATCCTTACAGATACAACCCCCCACGCAAACTGTATACAAGAAATTAATCTTCTGACGTTACATTTCTAAGTAGAAAGGATCAGCTATACATATCTGCAATAAAGCTAATACAGGCTCAAAGCCAGTTTAATTAGGGGTGTCAATGGTTTGGTTTGGTTCGGCCAGTTATTTTATAAAATTTATACCATACCAATTTTTCGGTTATTTTATTATTGTATAACCAAAATTAGACTTTTCCAAACCGTCTCAATCATGTCGGTTTCTCTTCGGTATCGGTATGGTTCGGTTAATTTTTGCTTAGTTTTTAATGTCAGGTAAAAGTCACTAGTAGAAGTAGAACCTGCGTACTTTTATAGGATTTCACAAAACTCTAGCTATTTTTACTGTTTAGAGGGTGATGAATTAAGAAAACATGAAAGATGACTAAAATATAAATTCATCAACTATTCTATAGCAGTGTAAAAGAAACTAAGCAAAGACAAAGAAAATATAAATCACACGAGTGAAAAGATATTAACCAAGCTGAGACTCAAGAATAAAGTCTATAGAAGATTAAATATTCAAAAAGATAAATCAAAATATACGAAAGAAAACATATTCAATACATTATAGTTTACTACTCATAATCGCTAGAATACCTTGTGTCTTGCTAGTGAATATGCTGAAAATAATTTAATTTCAATAGGAGTGGCATAATAATTTTGGGAATTAGGATTTTGAGTTTAATTACTTGTTGGCTTGTAACCGTTTTCATAATTCCAAGGCCCAAGAAAAATTTAATGCTTTATTATTTTTAAACTTAATATATAAATATATTTTTCACATGTAAATTTATTCGGTACGATTCGGTATTTTTTCGGTTTATTTTCATAAAATAAAAAACCTATCCTAATTATCGGCACGATTATAGATTTATATTAAAACCTACGATTTTATTAAAAGAAACCTGAAAAACGGTTCGGTACGATACGGTACATCGGTTTAGTCGGTTTTTAAATATTCATTGACACCCCTAAGTTTAATATTGTCCATGATGTTCCTATGCTGGTGGAAGGTGGAAGCTATTCGGTGAAATAGTCAAATGTGCACATGTTGGCCCTAACATCACCATAGTAATCGACCATGACATTGTAAGTGGTGACTGCATTTGGAAGAAGAGTGTTTCAACGGGGAACTGGTAAACACTTTTCCCAGCAGCGCAAAAAAACTCTAAGGTCTGTTGGGGCTTTATGCACTAATAAAGCGTGAGCTTTAATGAAGAAAGACATAAATGGAGAAAAACTACAAATATGTATGTGTAGTCCAAAACTAATATCTATAAGTATGAATACCAAAATATATGGACAAAGAAATGGAAGAGAATTTATGATAAAGTGAAATATCAATTATTTAGTGTCACCTTTCAGTATTACGCTCATTGACAAGGAAAGTATGCGTTAAAGCCTTGATGACAACACTGAAGCGCCCACTAAGCTAGGCGAAGCGCTCAACATGTTTTGAGCTGAGCTTCCAAGCTTAAGCGCGCCTTTGATAACACTGGGCATAAGTACCACAGTGACAACTACTCTTAAGTAAATCTGCATCTGAATGTAACGGAAGCCTAATCCCATTTTATGGGTTAATTTTGTCAGGATTAAGGAATGTGTACCTTAGTAAATTTTAAGATTGTGCCTTGTTATCAGAATGTGGCTACTCTGGAAAGGGTGAAACATAGAGGACAAAGTTCAATATTCCACATGTAATCTCTGTGCTGGTTGCATGATCAATCCAAAGTAAAAACTTTTCAGCATCACTTAGTCGAATATCCAACACCAGTAACTGAATGTTTTGTCGATTGAAAGAAGTTAGACAGATTAAAAGAATATTCAAGGGATGTGGATTACCAATGCTGAAGTTGATAAAATGAATAACATATTAACATCACAAGGAGCTCAAAAATTGTCGGTAATATAAAAGCAATGACACCTAGTAAGTCCTGGATATATTTCGAGTAGAATAGGTTTCAGCAGACTGTAAGATATGGGTGTAGTACCCCTTTCTTGGCCAGTCTTGATCAATTTTGAAAATTCACAGCAACAAATAACTGTGCTCAATCAAGAGGATAATCACAAAACAGCCTCTCTGCCTTGGCTCATCAAATCAGAACTAGTCTCTACGAAATCATTGTATGTTAAAAGCAACACTAGATTCTGCATCCACTATAAAATTCCTGAAACCGTTCTGACATTTTCATGTAAAATTAGGCAAGATATTACTCCATTTAATTTCTCACTATGCCAGCACAACTTTGAAATTAAGGATTTCATAGCCAACATCAGCCAATTAAGAGAAACACTGTTACATCCTAAATTGATCAGAAAGTAAAAGTAGACAAGCCCTTGTAGTGTTGCCAGAAGAAACAGATCAAATAAGAGAAATAAGCGAAACAGTTGTAAAGGATACAGTTTGTACCTTCACTTCAAATGCCAGTATAAATGCGAAAGAGGTAAAATTAAGGAAGCCTTAAACCAAAAATATGCTTTTTCATACATACATGATTAGCTATTAGCAAAATAGAATTACTCTGTGGATCAATGACAAACTGCAGTCACTTCTAGGCCTTCACTTTCCAAGTCATCCTACGCCTGTTGTGCCAGCTGTTCCTATCACCATCCATTTGGTTCTTCTTTGCTGCAAATGAGCACTGATCACCATGTCTACCTTTACCATTCATTTCCAGTTGATGCTTACGCCTTCTCACTCTGTTCTCTAACCTTAAACCTCTTAGCACTTGGACCCGCTGCTCGATCTCCAAAGCTTGAGAGAAGTTCCAGATCCTGACAACACCTTCTTCACCAGCACACACAATACGGTTAGATCCAACATCCACAGCAAACAAATTGCTCCCAAAACCATGCAGCATTCTTTGTGGCAGTTCAACAATGTCAACCGGATTGTCAGCTTTAGTCAGTGTGGAATTCCGGTTTGTTCTCAACAGCTTTCTCACATCAATAAGTGAAAGTTTTCCATCACTCGAAGCTGAAACAAGCCAAGGGAACTCAAATGCAAGAGAATTAACAGCACTTGAGTGAGGAATCCAAGTTGCAACCCGCCTGACATGACACCTAGCATTTCGAAAGATCTCAAACATGTGTATTGCTCCATCTTCCCCACCAGTGAACAAAAGCTTCCCGGTGTGGCTTCGTGCCAGAGAATAAGTGTAACCAGCATGGGCATTCTTGATGATAGCAAGTTTTGACCCACTATTAATGTCCCAAACATAAAGATCCGAGCCTGCTGTGCTCACCACTGTTGTATCATGGGGAGCAAGGCTCCAAACCCAGTCATTGTGTATCAAAACTTTCAAACACTCCAAAGAAGATCGATCCCAAACACGAATACTCGTGTCCCATGAACCACTATACATCCTATTGAAATCCAACGCAAGGCATGTTATCGGCCCATCATGTTCCCAAACTCGGAATTCCATATTCTGGTTCTCAGGAGCTCCAAGATCAAATAAATGTGGATTTTCGTCATTCGCTCTCCAACCATGTATGAATCCATCAGTACCCCCAGCCACTAAGAGCCTCGAATCAGCTGCAACTGCACGGATAGTGCAGCCAAGAGGGCGAGATGATGCAATTGACAGCCCTTCTTCCAAGTCCCACATTCGTACTATCTGATCATACCCTGAAGTAAGCACAAGCTTCTTCGAAGATAAAATAAAAACTGCCCTAACATCCTCAGTATGGCCATACAACATATCAATAGTATAGCGCCCCATAAATGTTTTACTACGGAACTCTCTCTCCACGAAGAGCTCCTTCCATGACTTCTCACCCGAATGCTCTGCACCAAAAGGTGCCTGACATGTCGGCTGCCCCCACCTCTCACAATAGAACTCCTTCCACACATGGTGCTCAGACGCAAGACGATACAATAATGTACTAGCACACGAAACAATACCAAGCTCCTTCGGTTCTAAACAGTTAAGTATCTCCGAGATCAATACCGGAGGAAGTTCAGTGATAGACCGACAATCAGGAAGAACCTCATTAACAATAAGCAGCTCTTTGCGTTTAGAATTCACAATACCACCTTTTGCATCTAATTTATACGAGGGTTTTCTTTCCTCTGAGGCTAATGTCAAATTATCTCGATTCTTAGCAGGTTCAATTGAGCAAATTTTCAAACTCTCAGTACCTTTTTGGCATTCAAATGCCATAAAAATAGCTCCCTAAACTTATGAAGATTGAAGCCCTAAAATTATCAAGTATCAGAAAGAAATACAAAACCACTGTTTCAATGAAGAAACACAACCATAAGAATAACAAACGACAAGCTAATATTCAACAATACAGTAAGAAAGCTCAAATAGCCAAAACCTTAAAAACAATTGAAGTCCAGAAAAAGTTTTAGAAAAAAACGATTTTTCAAAAACCAAAAATTGGAGAAAGACCCAGAAATTCTAACACGGACCCTAATTCAATTTCACCAACAGCCTCAGGAATCAATCTCCACAGATGAAAAGAACTTCTATACAATCACAAAAGGAAATAAAGAAAGTATCTGAACAGATCGCAAAATGGAAGATAAATGAAGAATTGAATAGAGAATAAGTTGTTATAGTACCTAAAGGGAAAAACGATTCTTTTTTGCAAATTTGCTATGAATTAGGGTTTGAAATTCTAGGGGAGAAGTTCCGAGAGAGACTTACAAAAAGATATTTGAGTTCAGACAGAGAGATCGAGATTGACGGTGTCTAAAGTGACTGTGGGTGACAAGTACGAGGAAACGGCCGGTGGAAGATAACCTGGTGTATGGGTCTTACGAAAGTACTAGGGAGATACTGTGTTATTTGTATATCAAACTACTTTATAATTTTAAAATTAATAAAATGATCTTTTTAGATTTTTATACGTAAAAGATGGAGAAAAGTAAATATCTCATATGTAAACAAAAAATAGAATTATAAAATTAAAAATAAATTTATAAAGAACCATAAATTAATTGACCCGCTCATCAATTTTTATTTTATTACAAAAATGTAATTATACAATATATTATTGTATATGCTGTTACTTCTTATGTATTAGATAATTATGTCCACTAAATTGAAAAAATCATCTAATGATTATGTCTTTGTTAGAATTCGAACCTAAAGCCTCATATTTCTCAATCTATTTGATTGACCACTAGATTATATCGGTAAAAACTTACTCGCACTAGCTATTTATATCCGGCCAAAAAACAAATGACACACATTACTTTACTTAATTACAACTATTAGTACTTAACCATAGTTAATATCATGTGTTTTGCAAATACTTAATAATTATGCTAGTTATTCCTCGTTATATTCTAAACAGTACCGTCAACCTATCCCAAAGGCCATCATAGGCCAATACGAACTTAAAAAAAGTACTTTCTTCTGCTGTAATTGTCATTACATTTTTTTTGTAATTAAAATTTCTATGTTTACCAAGCAAATATGTACAGATCAGGTTTGGACAGACGGCCCCAAACTTGTATCTCCATATCTTCTATACTTCTATTCCTATTGTCTTGCTATACTACTTACAAACTTAAGGGTAAAAATTCAACTCAGTCATCTTTCTTTGTGCATGCGATCGAAGTCGAGCTCGACTCCAACTTGATAGATTAAGTTCGGAACATGGCGACCACAGACTGAAGATCGACCTCGAGTCTCACCGAGCTAGAACCCGAGGTCGGAAAACCTGCCTTCGAGGAAAATTAAGTCCGGTGGCGACCTTAACCTCGAACGAGCTCGAAGATAACTAACAGAAGACCGAAATATCCGCGACCTGACGGATATTACGGCGAGAATCTCGGCACGTATCAGCAAGGAACCAGTAATCAGCAAATCAAGAGATTTTTACCTTTTATAGAAATGTATCTAGAATATGACTCATCTATTATACAAAGGAGGTCTGATAATTCATTTAAAACAATGTAACACGTATCACAAAGCAATATATTATTATTTCTAGTTCTCATTATCTTGTCATTCTGTTCCGGCATCGATAAAAGTATTTCTGACTCGAGCTTGACTAGTCTTCAAGGCTAATTGTTTAACTTGTGTGGTTTGTATTTATTTTTTCATTGCTTATTTCAATATTAATCTGATTTCCCGTTTTGTATTAAGTTAGATCACGTATCCTTAAAATTATGTACAAATTCAATTGTTATCCGATTTTGAGGGTAAACACTTTGTAGCCTAACACACGAGGAACCTCAACAATACACCTCCTGGATAATCTGCCTCACTATACTCGTCATTGTTTTGCTCTTTCCTTGAAACATTCTCAAATTTCTTTCTATCCATATAGCATAGATACTTGCTGCCAACGCTATTATGTAAATATTAGCTTCAGCAGTTCTTCCTTTTTCCTGTTTTATAGCACATTCCTTCTCAACTTGCCATGCCATAGATTGCCTATTTAATCCTTGCCATTGCAGAATCTTCCTCCATACAGTAGTTGAGACTGGACATTCAAAAAATAGATGTTCAATAGTCTCCAGTGCTGCTTGACATAGCACACAACTTAGATCCCCAATCTGCTTCCATTGCGCCAGTCTCTCTCACGCGAGTAATCTGTTATTTAAGGCCAGATACAAGATGAAAATCCACCTATGTGATCCTTGATTGTTGCATATAATCCGTCTCCATTCAACCTTAGGAAAACCCCCTCTTAATTAGTTGTAAATCTCCTTCGTAGAGAACTGTTGCATGCACTGTATGTCATCCTCCATGTAACCTGTTTCTGTATAGGTATCCTTAGCCTTCAATATTTTCCTCACCACCCATGAAGCATGTGCCACTTACGCACTCCAAACAGCTCCCCCTTTTATATAGTAGCTATGGATCCATTGGACCCATAGCTTGTCTTTCTTTTGGCAAAGGTTCCACAATATTTTACAAATGGCAACCTTGTTTCAAGTACACACATCCAAGAAATAGAGTCCTTATGCTGTCTTGGGACAACATAGTTTATCCCAGGCTATTAATGCTTTCTTGGACATGTCTGCACCTCCTGTCCAAAGAAATCTTCTACTTAATGATTCAATTATCTTTACCAATTTTTTTGGTAAGATGAATACCTGGGACTAAAACACCTACATCGAGAATAGGACAGATTTGATCAATTGGACTCTACCAATATATGTGAGTAATTTTGATGTCCAGAAAGTGATTTTACCCATGATCTTATCAAGAAGAGGCTTGTATTGTAATACCGATGTCCTTTTAGTACTCAGGGAAACCCCTAAATACCTAAAAAGCATATCTCCTTTTTGCAAATCCCAGCACATGTGTTATCTTGTTCTTATCTTCCTCATGCACTCTTCCCTCATGCACTCTTCCAAAATAAATGGAGCTTTTGTCTATGTTTGCCTCTAGACCATAGGATTGGGAGAACTTTTGAAAACATTCAAATACTATCTTTACAGATACTGTATCCCTTCTGCTAAATAGTAATAAGTCATCTACAAAACTCAGTTGTACAATGTTCATTATTTCACACTTAGGGTGATAGTTGAAATCAGGTTACCTCTTTAGTGTCTTCAAGATCCTAGTGAGGTACTCCATGGCTAACACAAACAGGAAGGGAGACATATGGTCCCCTTGTCTCAAACCTTTCTTTGCTGGGAAAGGGGCAGTAGGGTACCCATTTATGATGACAGAATATGATACTAAGATTATACATGATAAGTGTGGATTTTGACCACTTATTAGTACCTTTTTACTTTTGTTTTAGTCCGAAAATATTAATTTATGTTTCCAAAACTAATGAAAGTGTGCAAATTGCAGGAATGTTGGAGATTTGAGCTAAAATGAAGAAATCTGACTCAAAAAGGAGTGTTCCAACTCACAAGGCAAGAAGGGGCGCAACATACTAGAAGTGTTGTCCGTAGAAGTATTTTTGCGGACGTAGAAGCAAGTGCGGACCACAGAATGCTCTCTGCAGCTGCAGAACTGATGAAGAAGCCCAAAAGTACTTGAAGCAGAAGTGCGAACAACACACAATTTGTGCGGCCACCGAACATGGCCTGCACTGATAAGAATTCAAAAAGTTAAGAGAGTGTGAAAATGACCAAGATTGAAGCCTTGCCTAAAGTGCGGACCGCACAAGAATTGTGCCGCCGCAGAAGCTGAATTGCAGCCGCATACCAAATTGTGCACTGTCGAATCCAGTCTCCTATAAACTCAAGCAATGTGCGGACCGCACATGGAATTGTGCGGCCGCAGAACCTCCCGAGAGGCATTTTTGTCAGTGAATTTTAGGCCACTATAAATAGACGGGAATCACATTTTTAGGTCAAGTTTTGAAGTTCTAACAACTGTAGCCATTGTAGTTTTCCATTTCAGGAAATTTGTGATCATTTTGGGATTAAAAAAAACCTTAGTTTATCATTTTAATTTTATATTATGGGTTTAGTTAGTATTTCTTCTTTGTTTTCTTTATTTTCTACTATGAGTAGCTAGATATTTACTAGGGTTGTGACCCAACCCTAGTGTGTAAACCTTATGGGTATTTAATTGAATGCTTGTTTATGATTGAGTGTTTATTATTTAGCCTTATTTATGCTTTAATTTTAGAATTAATGGTTGCAAACATTGATTCATGCCTTTTTGACTTGGTCTTTACTTGAGAAAGAGGGACCTAGTCTAGAAAAACTTGGCTAACAAGAAATTGGGCTAGTTAAGGATTTGACTAGCCTAATTAAAGGGTTTTAACTAGTTATAGGAAAAATCTGACTTGAGCTCATATCAACCATTTAACTTGATACCCATTTAGGTTTGAGAAAGCCAAATTGGGCAAAATCACTCTATGACCGAGAGGTATTGAGTGGGTAACTTAGAGTTGAGAGCTATAATATACCTCGATCAATAAAACAAGTGTTAATGTACTTAACCCATTAGACTAACACCTAGGTGAAAGTTACATCCCTAGGCCTTTTAACCATTTGGTAAAAACAACTAAAATAATTACCCGCTTTCTAGTTTCTTCTCATTAGTTTACAATTGCTAGTGTTAATTTAGAAGTAGAAAACAAAATCTCTTGTTTGGAAGCGCAATTGAGTTATTTCATTTACTCTCATCAAGCCATATTAAACTCCCTATGAAAATCGCCCCCGACTCTTGTTGGGTACTATTCTTCCAACGACCGCTTCCACTCACTATTCAGTGCGGATTGAACGTGGATCAATTTTTGGCGTTGTTAATGGGGAGTTAAAATAGTGTTAGCTATATATTTGAGTGTGTTTTTGGAATATCTTCTTTCCATTTTGTGTTACTAATTTGTTTAAGAAATTATAGGTACAAACATGGCGAACAATGATCTCGAAAATTTGCCTTTGGTAGAATTAGACGACGAGGAGGAACAAGTAGATGAGGTACCTCAAGTGCCACAATGAAGAGGCTGGGGTTCACAAGACAATGTGCCTGTTCCACCCCCACCTCCACCACATCCATGACAAGCGGCTCCACACCGTATATTCCCCAACGAAGGTTATGCTAGTGCAATAGTCCCTCTCCGTATTAGGGCGGACAACTTTCAAATCACCAATGTGATGCTCACCTTGCTTGAGCAACAGGGTTTCATTACCGGTGCTCCAACTCAAAATGCTTACAAACATTTGAAAGGCTTTGTGGATAAATGTTAGGGGAGCAAGCAAACTAATATTTTCAAGGATGCATTGAGGTTAAGGCTTTTTCCCTTCTCTCTACGGGGGAAAGCTTTAGATTGGTTGGAACGATTGCCTTATCATTCAATTCACACTTGAGATGAGTTGGCATCCAAGTTCAT